ATCTCGTACTGTGAAAGTACAAAACGGAAGGCAAGGCCAGATTCAGATTTTTGTAGTAAGGACAGAAGGCCTACGGCCTATGTTATTCCTTTTCTAGTATGCTTCTGTGAGTGTCCAGTCTTCTCTTGAAAGAGTCAATCGAAGGTGCGGACACCACTGCTTCAGGCAGCAGGTTCCAAGTATTGATGACGCGGAGTGAAATCCTGTATGCCACGGGTATTTTGCTTGTTCTTGGCTTTTCTAGTCGCCTGCTATGTCCTCTGAGGTGCCCCGATCTAGTGTGAAGAAAGAGAGAGAATAAGTTAGGTCCGAAATCACTTCTCAGTATTCTGTACATCAAAATGCGATCTCCCCTTAGTCTGCGATAGGACAGAGTAAAGAGGTTCACTTTTTCCAGCCGCTCTTTATATGATAAACCTCGGGGTTCCGGAATTTCACGGGTAGCTGCCCTCTGTACTTTTTCTAGTATGTCCGAGTCACCTTTTAAACAAGGGCTTGCAGCCTGAACGCCGTTCTCTAGCTTAGTCCTCACTAAGGATGTGTATAATGTGGTGAACATGGTAGTATCTAACTTAGTGAATGTCCTTTTTAAAGCCCAGAGGGTTCGAAACCCCTTAACTGCGACCTCCCGGCAATAGGCCGTCGTCTTATGATCATTACTCACTGTCACCCCTAGATCCTTATGAGACCGGACTACGGGTAATGACACATCCCCTATGTTGTACGTATTAACCTTTGAATCCCCCAAGTGTATGTAGACACACTTTTCCGAGTTGATAGGCATCAGCCACTCTTTAGACCAGTTTATCATATTATTTAAGTCTGCCTGAAGAGTAAATGCGTCTTTGTCTCCAGTTACTACTCGCCAAATTTTTACATCGTCAGCGTATAATAACATTGGAGACTGTACTATACTTGTAGGATCATTAACGTACATTATAAAATGTAAAGGACCTAGGATGGAACCTTGGGGTACTCCACTAAGTACTGGTCTCCAGATGGAGCACTTGGAATTTATTCTTACTTTTTGCCTACGATCTACTAGGAAATCTTTAATCCATTTTAAAAGAGGTCCGGAAAAACCAAGGTTTTCCAACTTCAATAGCAGTCTATTAGTTGGCACCTTGTCAAAAGCCTTACTCTATGTAGACCACATCCACTGAGTTTCCGTTGTCTAGCGCATTAATCCAGAACTCCCTGGCTATCAGTATGTTCGTTGTACAGGATAGACCCTTTCTAAAACCATGTTGTGCCATGTTCAGCAAGTTATTGGTTTCCATAAATGCCGTTATGGTCCGTTTGATTATTCTTTCCAGTATTTTAATTACAACACTGGTGAGGCTTACGGGTCTGTAATTCGATGGAACTTGTCGTGGACCTGTTTTATGTATGGGGGTGACGACTGCATCCTTCCAGTCCATAGGTAACACACCTTGATCAAGTGACATTTTGAATATCACAGTCAGTGGGGACGCGATATATTGGGCAATATGTCTCAAGATTTTGGGATGTAGTTCATCTGGACCTGTTGACTTCTCCATGTTTAGGGTGCTAAGAGCCTTAAACACATCGTTTTGGTCGAAGTCCACGGTGAGCAGCTGGTTTGTTGACTCTGCATTTGGGTCTGGTTCTTTCTCTAGAGGAGGTTCCTGATTGAAAACTGCCTCAAAATATTCAGCCATAGCCTCTGCTTTTTCCTGATCTTCCTCTATCATTTCAAATCCACTTCCTACTTTAATTAAGTTGGGAATCCAATGATGCATCCTTGTTCTGTAGTTTATGTACGAGAATATTAAGTTGGGCTGCTTGAGTGCAGGTTGTGCCAGCTGCATTTCATATTTTCTTTGAGCTTCCCGAATTTTTGTTATACACTCGTTTCTTATCGATCTGTAGCGTTCCATCGTACCTGCTGTGCCAAGGCGGATGGCAACATCCCAGCATTTCTACTTTTGTCTTAGTAAGCGTCGAATATCCCGCCCTATCCAGGGATGTCCTTGCTTCTTTTTCTTTGGGACAGTCCAGGGTATGTATGGTTGAGTTACCCGATTGTATAACTGCCTGATTAGAGTTCATGCCCCTTGTACTGATGTCTTTGAGTCAATTTCCCAGTTCTCAGCCGATGCTGCGGAGTTAATCGCCTGCATATCTGCCTTCCATATGTTATGTGTTTGCGCTGTGGTGGATATATTCACTTGGACTTGACTGTGTTTACATACGTTTGATACTTTTTTGTGAGGTACGGGAACGAAAATTCACACTTGTATATTGGATGTCGACACAAAATCCGAATGTCGAACTGTTCGGCTATCCTAAAACGTTTATGACGCGAGTAAATCTGTATTTTGCAAAATTATCTGTTGTGTTTCGTTATATATTATCGTATGACACGCAGAACATATCTTGATAGTGTCAAAGCGTCATTCTACGTCAGAGAACGTGTTAATTCGTCGTGTAACATAATCAAATTTTAGCGTTATCCCAGTCTACCTCCGATGAGCGCTTATTTGACACTTATCATTCTAATGGATTGTTATTATTATTCTTGCCACAATAACCACGATATATTTTGATCAGTATCGTCACGTTTATCGATTACTCGCATTTTATAGACCAAAGATCTCCACTGCTTACTTAACTTACTCTTTAATGTTTAAACTTCAAATACAACAATGGACACATTATTTCAGCATTCAAGGCAGTAGACATGAACATCACTATTTTTGAGGATTTATAACATTGAATAATTCAGTTATAATCTTCACCAATATCTTCTAATATACTGTTTATTGTATCGCCATATTGACTAATGTATAACTCAGTGAGTCTAAAGAGGAGGTAACAAAGAAACACTTTGCTTAATTGTGCTTAATTTGTAAATTTGCGTTTTGTAGATGTAACCTGGTATTCACCTATTCCTGAATGAATTTGAATAAGATGACTGCATGTTCACTTCTCCCAAGTGGTGGGAGATAAGCCATTTGACCAACGTCATCACCGTGTGTGAAGACTAAACCTAAAAGAGAAGAAGAGTTTCTTAAGTCGTATCTTGTGGGATCTCTAATGTGTTGGAATAATGCTAGTCCAATCGAGGTTTCTAACAGTTTGCAGTCAGACGACGATATCGATGACCCTACTTCTAAGTTAACCCAGTTTATATATGGTGCATTAAAGCCGCCTACTACAAGGCTTTTACCGTTGTTACAACAGGACTTAAGTTTAGTAAGGAGAACATCATCTGCTACACATTCTGGACTGCGATATACTACAACTAATTCAATATCTTGCCTTCGGCATTTCAACTTACATCTCACCAGTTCACATGTCCCTGAAACATGTGCTACTGCCTCAGCTAATCTTATGGTTGGGGTACTTTTCGTGTACAGAATAACCCCGCCTCCCCTTCGGTTCAATCTATCAGCCCTACTGGTTAAAGAACCAGTCAGCTGGATTTCGCTATCTACTAATTCTGACGTTAACCAAGTTTCCGAGACAGCAATAACGACCGGTGTTTCTTTATCCACCACTGACTTGAGCTCCGCCATTTTATTTAGTAGTCTGCGAGCATTTGTGTAGCATACCTTTAAGTCTGTGGAGAGCTTTCCCTTGCCACCCAGAGTGGCTTGAGGATCGTTTTGATACGAACTTTTACAATTTGAAAACACTTAAGAGCGAGCTTTCTTTCACCGTTTCGGCGACGCTCGTTTATTTCCGCTTCTGCAGCTCGTCTCTTAATACGATCAGTAGGTTGAGATCCTCATGGACATATATTCCGGATCCAATGGGTTTACGTGAATTACTTAGAATCAGGTCCCTTTCATCCACCGTGTTGAATATAACCTTTAGGAGGCGATTTTTCTGAGGACTTTCGGAATCCACCTTTTTTCCTATTCTATAAAGCTTACAAATACTGACTCCTGAAACTATATCTGGGAGTGGTTTACTTAATGATGTCTTAATATGATTGAGATCATGTTCAAATCTTGCCTTTGGTTTTGTATCTGAAGATCCTCTTATCTTATGAAAAATGACTGATCTCTCAGAAAGATCTGCTTGTCACGCAGTGAGGAATTTTCATTTGATAACATCCCTTTCAATGCCTTGCTGGCGAGCTGCGTTTTGCCCACAGCCTTTTTTTTCTTATTTTTTCTTCTTACCGAAGTCCATTTGTCCCCACTCAGAACATCCACACCTGGACTATATGGAACGGTGACAGTTTTATCCGGATCTTCTATTTCGACTAGAGGTGTATGACTGCCAATGTCAGTATCAAGCGACACTTCATTCCTCGTTAATGTCAACGGAGTTTTCACGTTCCCGTCAACCGCAGTCAGGTGTTTAACGGGTCCAGTAGCAGCATCTACTACACTGATACATTCTTCATCGTCAGTGCTCCTGTTATCAGTGTTTCCGCCATCGTTTTTCTTGCAGGCTAAAGCCAATAGGCCCATAGCCTCCTGTGTTAGTACCTTTTTCTTCGTACATACATACATACAAAGCCAATGCGAGTTAGGCTTCGAGCATCTTTTGTATGCCATTGGATTTAGGCGTGTACACATTTTGCGGTACCACTTCTTACAATCGTCACACTGCATTCCCTCCTCAACGGAGAACAAACGATTTAGTTGCCCACATTTGTGAGTCTTACCAACCATTGTAATTAGATTTAAAAGGTTTAAAAACACAAAATGATCGCAAAGTGAACACATGTGTTAGTCAAGAAGTAAAAAATGGTACTCAGGACAAAATTTAGCAAAAAATTTCTAACTTTAACCAAAGCACTTTTAGTTAAAGTAGACCAAGAATGCATTTTAGTCCAATAAGTACCCAGAGCAAGTATAATCACAACAAGTACAAAAATCACTGCCCTTTTTGAAACTAGCACATCGAGTATTTTTAAACAAAACATTTACAGTCAATAATGGTATTTACACAAAATATGCGAAATTAAGAAGAGAAGCGAATAATAACTAAAACTACTTGTCAAATAAGTTTATGTTTGCTACTTCTTCAAGGTGAACCGGGTAGTGCTTTTTTCAAAACGTCTACATTTTCTGACTTGTTTTCGCATCATAATGATACCTGATGTAAGTCTATGCATTTCGTTCATTTTCTGTATAAACCGTCTATTTTAACGTGACCGAACATCAGACAATGCTTCTGATGAATCAGGCAGAAGACTAGGGACACAGGAACAGTTAGGGAAGTATTCGTCACTCCGTAAGATATTTCTGACCTTATCAAAAGTATGGCGAGACTCTAATTTTCATTTGATTTATATTTCTCAAGGTCTAAAATGCAGAGCGATTTGTTCAGTAGTAGCCGACGTAGTTAGCATTTTTGGGCAATAGGTAGTTATTCTGATCGACGTGTCATGGTAATCAAGCTAGAGTGTAGTTACCAAAACAAGTGAGGTCAACGATATCGAAGACTTACGGAACTATTTATTTTGGGGATTGATTCATCGTTACAGACACTCTAGAAATTAGATTAGACCTTTAAGATTGGGTTTTTTACATCTGTAAGTGACATTAATGAAGATGCTATTACCGTTTATAACCAATGTATGTGGATTGACTAAGACACTAAACTATGATTCCCTATTTAGCAGACTCCTGTCATCATTGCAGCTCATGTGGACGTAATTTATACGACACCCGACGCTAACCCTAACTGTCTCATCTCTGACTGCCGAGAAACATTCAGCTCAATACTTCAAAACCTTTTTCGTCTGTCTGTAGAAGCCATTTAAAATTCCTACCACTCATTTTTAATGTAATTGCCAGTAGATAAGTACCTTTAGGCGTCTTTTAATTCTTATCCGATGTGCCCTTCATAGTGGTAAGTTTATTTTATCCGTAGTTGAAAACCTTTTCAAGTAACCGTGCCTTTATTCGCTAATGTACATATCTTCGGTGAAGTAGCTATTGGTAGGTTTAAAAACAGCAATTTGTTATGAAAACTTTTGGCTTCTGTTAATTCTTTTTTGTCGGCTTTCCAATTCTACTGAAATTGGATACTGCCTCTGGGTTGTAGTTGAGCTCTTGTTCATTATACTTTCTTAATCATTATTCAAAATTTTTGGCTATGGGAACTACTGTCACACGTAACCTGTTTCTTCTATCTTTCTTAGACATTTTAAGCATTGTATTTTGAATAAATTATCACTAATCATTAATTTCCGCTTGGTCGTTTTCAGAATTAAGCGACTTTTATTCTGAGTAATAGCTCTTAGTGATACTCGATTCTCAGTGTACCGTTACTTTGAAATATTTCACAGAATTAACCGTCAAAATATCAGTGGAAACAAATCTACTTGGCATTCTATCATATTGGCCAAAGCAAACTTCAGCATATTAGATATCATTTATCCACTTTCTAATCTTTCAGACAACTGTTTTACTATGAAATATCTACACGGTACTTTTATGATTAGTTGTATGTCAGTTCCCTCAAGTTTTTATAAATGTTAAGTTTATCACAGTTTTTACTGCTTAACATACTTCCTTTTGTTTTTAACAATGCCATAGCCATCCGAATTAGTTCACGGTAAATCAGTCGATATAGAAAAGCCTCGATATGATCAGTCCACATACATTGGCAGAGCCAAACACTTTTTTATTACAACTAATCCTTTGAACGCATTCAAAACATCTACTGAATTAGAAGAAGCAAGGACCATCGTTCATAATTATAGGTGAGTACTATGTGGTCATGTGTTGCTATAAAATAATTACAGGATAGGGATTATTCAACCCGGTTTAACTGTAGAAAAGCTTTGGCAAGCAAAAAATGTGTACGACTCAGCGTTCCATCCAGACACAGGAGAAAAAATGATACTCATTGGACGCATGTCATTTCAAGTTCCTGGGAATATGTTTATAACGGGTTGTTTGCTACAGTTTTACAAGTGAGTAAATTAAACGTTTTAAAGCTTTTTAACAATAGCAAAGTATTTAGTGTGTTATTTAAGTTACATATACTAATTATTTTAGGATGTTGCTAGATTTTTAGGTTTTTCCATTTATCATTTTGGACCTTGGGCGTATGTTATGAATATAACGTCACATCAAGGCAAGTACTGATTGAAAGCGTACAACGAAGGTTTTAGTAACTAGAATCGGCGAATATCTCGAAGCTTACAAACTGAATTAAATTGTATCTATGACCATATGCTTGATTCTAGTAGCGCTTACTCTTTTGTATACAGTATCTGGGCAGTGTTGCAGAGAAAAAGTGACCGAATGTATACATCCATTTTTCATTAGTTCGTTTAAACAGCTGTTTCACAAGGAGATAGAGCGAAATAAACTTATCCATGAAATTATTTTTTGTTGCAAAAACGTCATAGGCTTTGTTGGCTAGTGTTTCAATATGTCAAGTCTCAGTTTGGTATAGAAATATCGTTAATAAAGTGACATACTACTGTGCAAAACCTTGTCGAAGATTACGAATTCGTAACTAACTGGGATTCCATCAGATTAAGATTAACGGCGTTGGATGCCGGCTCAATGGTTCAAGGGTTCGGTGTTCGCGCGCGAGATCGAAGGTCCTGGGTTCGTGGCTGCTCTCTTCCCATACTAGGATAAAACGGTCAGGTTTTCAATAGTGGTCTAACATTGATCGATTCATGATTTCCGTGAAACTAAACGATCTCTACGACCCTATACTTGTAAATTGAAACAGTTAAAATGTCCTACAATACTGTTTGTTTTATGTCTGCAGAACTTCATACCAGTTAGTTTTATCAATCCACCCAATGAAAAAAGCTGACAAATCTGTTAAAAATTTTTCGGTCTATCAGCTGTAGAATGTAATGGGTTTATTTATCTATCTTATTATTACTGCATTTAGGTCTACACCGGCTGTCATATTTTGGCAATGGTTTAACCAAACATTCAATGCCGTTGTAAATTATACTAATCGTAGTGGTGACGCACCTATTTCATTAACGTAAGTTTTATTGATCGTTTTTAAGCAAATCTATCAGTGTTTGTCATGAGTGCTTGCTGAAAATCACTCCGTCTATTTTACACATTATTAACTGTGGGAGGATTTTAGACTACAGAATAGATGTTTAATCTAACGTTTCTAATGTGATAAAAGCCGATTAAATAAATTTTCGACATCCTATTCTGATCCTTTTATTTCTAATATACTGACTTAACTTAAAATACGTATTTGAAAGCATACACCACTTAGGATTTGAACGTGATAGTTTGTAGTTGATTACCGCCCAGTCAAAATATACTTGTCCATTTGAATAGTAATTGCGGTTTTTCTTCGTGCTGTTCTATATAATTGGGTTAGCATTATGGTAGATTTCTGATCTGTCAATAGTAGATCATGTCGAGTTGTTCTATAGGTATCACCTAATCAAACTTCAAAAGAAATTTAGGTTCGATTATTTATACTTATTCATGTTAACGTAATTAACCAGGTATATCTGTTCCATGGGTTATATTAGTATTCTATGGCATTAATTGATTGTCTTTGTCCATCTTTTCTTGGTGATATCACCTAATAATCTAAGAACTAATGTACGTGTATCGCTATGACGTTGGTTCAACGAATTTGTTTGGCAGACGTCAATCAGCACCAAGAACTAAAGTCTATAAATTGTTACTACAGTATGATCGATAAAAAGACTTCCTACAATAAATTGATATATTAATGGTGTTTAAAAACAATGCTAAATTTTTACTTTGCAAAGTAGTATTGAGAGTGATGTTCGAGTGCTCCTTGACTTACGGTATTATCTAACACTAGAATGCCTGAAATGCCTAGGATAGATTTTCGAAGTTCCAAACATACTTATAAACTCAACTTTGTATACTCTTTTCACTACAGTAGTTGTCTAACTTATATTAGAGATATATAAGTAATAGAAACATATTTGTTTTATTTCATACTTGCAACTATGTGAAGAAATTTAAACAGTTTAATTAAAGTTGAATACCATGTGTAAATTTTCTGTATTTACACAATTAATGATAAATGTAACGAACTGACGTCAAACAAAATGAAATATCCATAGTTTCCAGGGTCAAGTTTAGTAACTTGGAGTTATTCTAGAATGACAGGGAAGTGATTAGATTTAAAGCCTTGATGCAATGAAAGTTGGGCATAATAATGCGTTTTTTTAAATGTATAAAACATGTTGAGTTTTTCCTGCGTTATTTGAAATATACATCTTTAAGCTGTCTACTCAAATAATTTTATTTTCACCATGAGTAAAAGTTGCGGCTACTTTCAGAAATTTTAGCATATGGTTACTTTTAACAGTAAAGTCTTGTCACCTTTATCACCACTATCTGAAATTTACAATAAAAATCCTGAATTTTAGTTATTTTCTGAGTATAAATAATGATATTTCAGTGGTAATGGGGATACAAAGTTTTATCCATTGTTTTGCCTACTACATCAGTCGGTTATATTTAATCACCATCTTTCCAGACATCTACTTCTGGTTAATCTGAAATTAGGTCGGTAAAAAGCTTAGAGTCAGTCGTGTTCAAACATAGCATCGATATTGGTGGGAGTCGACTTCTTAGTTGGATCTCGCACAATATCCGTAATCAATGACTGAAAATGTTAGTCGACACAGATTACTTCGATCCATTCTCTTTGTTCCTATCAGTTACAAGTTAAATGTCATTTCGAACCTTTTATCTTAAATGTGATGGCTTTTTTTATAAAATGATATCAGCTGAAAATCGGTTGAAAACAACAAAACCATTGGTTGACCGTTTCGTTTCACTCTTAGATTCCTTAACAAGATCGAATCCGGAAAGTTCATATTCTACTATTACTTTAGACCCTAATCCAACTACCTGTGTTTTCGATTGCACTTGGTTCACAAAACAGCGCAATCATCATCCAGTGTCGTCACTCGGTGGTTAGCAACTTCACTGTTGAAACGGTTGACTTTACCGTTCGTGGCTGTCCTGTAGAATTTTAAGAAACCCACCTCAAAGCTATTGAATAGTAACTAAACCTTAGTCATTTAGTTAAGAAAGTTTTAAAGATTTACTCAGCTGGACTTTTTATCATGAACAGACATTTTCTATCTCCTATTTCAGAAAACGTTAACAAATGATAGGTGTGTTAATCTATTCAAATCGTATTATGAGTGGTTTGCAAAGTCCATTGAAGTCACCGACTAACCTTACTTTCGCTATTAACAAAAGCTAAAATGTACTAAACTGCTTTATCGTCCTACTACCGGACTCCTCGAGATCACTTATCCACAATCCCACCAGTGACAAAACCCAGTGCATTCAGTTCTCACGGTTGTGGCCGATGGAGTTCAACTATGTCATGCATGAAGCGGATACCCACCAATAGTATTGGAAGACAAATGCATAAACCTATCTCGTCCTAGTTATAAAATTTATGACTATATTTAGGACTATGACTATGTATAACTCCTACCAACTGATCCGTACTCTGTTACATAATTAATTCATCAAAAGTTTACCAAAATCTAAAACTTAAACAGCAAAAACCGATCTGTGTGTATATCTGTTTGTCTAGATTTCATCCAGACTCTAACTATAATTTTTTCTAAAAAATAACGAGATTTAACGGGTCGAAAAATTATCTGACCATTGGCCATTCCATAGACATTTCCTTAATGAACAGAATTATGATAATTCTTTTCTTTATGATCAATGACTTAGAGTTTTCTGTTACATTTTATTGTCATTGGTTAGTAAAAACTGGATATTCATTGGTAGAAAAGAAATGAGTAGATAGATGGTAGGAGTCCATTTTTGTCGTATTTAATCAGTAACACATACCATTCATAACCTTTCTAGTCAGTTAAACAAAAATCCTCAATACCATAACCCGTAGCTCTTGAATGCTCACTCATTTTAACAGGTCACAAAAAATATTATTACGCGAAACATACGATTTCCCAGTATGGGGTTGTGGAGATTATTAAGTTTTTGATTTCGATCATGAATCGATTGATGTCAGAGTACCATTGAAGACGTGGAAGCATTGGATGGCCGTTTCGTCCTATTATGGGACTCCTAAGCAGTGCGCATTCACGATCCCGCTCGCGGGATTTGAATCCAGGGTTTTCGGTCTTGCGCGCGAACGCTTCATGATCTCAGCCAAAAGCTTAATAATCTCCACAACTCCATACTGATAATTACCATGTGCTTACTAGTGAACAGCTTCGTGAGGGAATTCTCGAAGTTCTAGTGAGAAGCCGTAACCAGTGAATCTAATCCGTGTCAAGTAGAAACAGGTATCTACCCCAGTGCATACGATTTCTGTTTTTGTTTTATTGAGATTAATTAAAAATTCATTGATATTTGTCACCAAACGAAATAATTACATGAAAGTTAAGTAATTTCTATTGTTTCTTTGTAATACCCACTATTTTGGATAAAAAGAAGTATAACTTTACTGAACGCATATATCAATTTACAACGTTTTTTAGTACAGTTTTCTATTTGTTATATTACAGTTTTGTAAATCCATAAATTCCATAGATTGGATTTCATAACGTTAAACAAACTAAATAGTCTTCATTTTATTTAATGAAAATATATAGCTTAGATTATTGAGATATCTTTCTCTCTTATATAGTAGAAATACCGCATTTTCATTATTTTCATTATATTTGTGTATGGGCTGTGATACTGTCCGGATGCCCAAACCGAAGCAGGTGGCCTTCTTAGGAGGCCACACCCCGAGCCTTTGACCTAAAGGTCTAACCCACAAGGCAGTGGAGCATCGTGAGCAGATGCAGTCCCATTGTAGCCGGTGACCAACGATTGGTTCATACGCTATGTGCACCATTGGTTTGGGATCCGGTTAAAGCATCGGACATTCGCTTTTCTTCCTCTCAATTTCGTAAACAACACCCCTGCCACGAGAAGGCAGTGAGTAGGACTTCCCTGGCAGAGGCTGTATACGCGTGGTCATGTGAGAGTATTTCGAGAGGGAGGGCGGACCCACCCCAATCTCGGCCATACCAGGACATAGTAGAAATACCACACTCAAATTTTTTAACAAATTCCTCACAAATAAAAAGCAATTTCGATAATGAAATAAGAAGACAAAGATTATCAGAACTAAGCGATAATATATTAGCGCAATACTTTTCGAACAATCTGATCATACATTACTTGTTATGAACATTTATATATATAAAAGAATAAATGGTCACCTAGACTAGAAATGGAAGGTAAGAGGAGACAAGGATAATAATTAAAGTAATAATAATAATAATAATAATGTGAACGCAATTTGAAACCTAAGCGCTTTGGTGAGAGACTGCTGTATTTCTTGTTAATCTCTTGAAAAATAATAAAGTTGTATTAAATAGAGTATCATTCCAAACCTACCTAGAAAAAGAACAACACTGAGTTTTTATTTGAACAACCAAACATTTTGTAATAAATAAATGTAATTCTTCATCTCACGTTTCATTTGTAATCAATTTTAACTATGCATGTCCACTTACTTACTTACACCTGTTACTCCACATGGAGGAGCATAGGTGTCCACTCATCAATATTCTATGTGTGTACGGTTAGCCTTAATTTTAATTAAAAATTTTGTCTACTACATATTAATTTCAAATAAAATTGTTTTGAAAAAAAAAACTTTTAATTCGATTGTTAGTATGTTTTTTTTTACGCTACCAGGTCAAACAATACAACTTTTATTCTTTTTCAACATAAAAGGTGTATACATAGATTGGTTCTTATAAATAATAAATTGTTGACAAGTTTAAGTGTTTAGTATTATACAACACAATTGACCTAGTAAACAATTTTTTTTAATTTGATATTTCCATTGCTAGTAAATATCGAAAATTTGATCATGTCTAGTTTGTAAACTTGAATATAGTATATATAGTGATAATTAGCCCAGTGATTGAATTTACAATCGATGGATCACTGAGTAGTAAGCAGTATCATACTTATTTAGTCTTTCAGTGCTTATCGAATTTTATTCATCAAGTTATGATGTAATTATCAGTTTGAGTAAATTGATGATACCATATGCACTACGTTGGGATGTATAGGTAATTATAAGTAATCTATAGGATTTGTTAACTCTTCTGTCTTCTTTCTTGCTTTTGCTCAATAATGAGACTTGAACTGTAATTTTCATGTTAGTTGCCAGTGATCTAAACTACTATCATACCTAAGTTCGTCAGGGTTTCCTGCCTACTACTTTCAGTTATCTAACTTTGATGTACAGTATTTCAATACTCTACAGCATGATCAAAATAGTGACCTTCTAACTGATTTATGATTGGTATCATCACTACTGTGTTCATCCAATCTTGCTTAACTCTTTTTTTAAAAATATCATTCCGTTCTTCATTCTTAATTATTCTTTTAATAAAACCTTTCGGATAATTATTCATTAATAGAGTGGATACAACTAAATTCATATAAAAATGGAAATAAATTTAGTTGTATCCACTCTATTAATGAATAATTATCCGAAAGGTTTTATTAAAAGAATAATTAAGAATGAAGAACGGAATGATATTTTTAAAAAAAGAGTTAAGCAAGATTGGATGAACACAGTAGTGATCCCATATCGTAAAGGTATCTCAGAAGACATCAGAAGGATTTTAATTCGCCAAAATATGAGAGTATTCTTTCGAACAAACGATACTCGAAGATCAAAACTAGTAAGAATCAAAGATCCAATACACGAGGATGATCAACAGAATTGTGTTTATGAAATCAAATGTAATGACTGTAATGCAACGTATGTAGGTGAAACATCAATGCAACTGAATGTGAGGGTGAAAGAACACAAACTGTGCTTAAAGCACATTCATAAATCCTCAATTGATGTAAAAAAAGCTTGAGCACAGATCAGCGATAGCATTACATTCGATTGAATCGGGTCATACAGTTTGCTGGTATAAGAGTAGATTAGAAGTGAGCTAGGGATAGGGCTAAACCAATACTAGCCACTAGTCTGTAAAGCCATCGTCTGTTGAGATGAGACGTGTTGGTGGCGGCAAACTATTTTTTGAGGTCCGCGCGGTTACCCTAACCAAGTAGTCAAAGACGTTGGTTGACATGTTTCGGAATCTATCACAGTAGCATAAATACATTCACGCTTTGTCTTAAAGCGGTAATGTTTTCTGCTACCACTGGTACTATCGCTACTTCTACTTTGTCTCTTTTTATTCTGTTGTGCTGATATATACTGTGTGGCGGCTTGAATAAATGTGGCAGGTTCTACTTCTATTTATTAACTGACCGATAATTTTGAACGGACATTTATTCTAGTGGTGTATACTGATGAATAAATATATTTTTGGAAAATATTTATCAAAATTATATCACACTCTTCCATTTCTTTTCTTAAGGTTTTAGATAACAAACAAATTACACTGACCTTTTAACGCATATGATATGTAATTGTATAATTATTATGACCAACTGCATTGATTTTAAGTAAAACTATTAAAGCGTACTGTCACTGTCAGACCCTTAAAGTAGCTAATTAGAATAAAGGTAGTTATTCGTCATTAGTTTTTTTTTTCGATAATTGGAATTTAAAGCAATTAGTCCCTTTTATAAATTTCGATAGAACAATTTTTAGAACATTTTTCAGATCAACTCCGTCTTCTCATTGTTCTATCGAAATTGGAATTATCCTAACGATGAACAAGATTACGAGCAATATGAACAAACGATTTGTTGTAAATCATCCAAAAAGTAAATGATTTATGTGAATTAAAAAAAACCAAAAGACGCGTTGTCATCTTGTTGTAAATACCCCTAAATTTTGTTTGATCAGAGCTCAATCAACATTAAACAGGATAATGTATAGTATTCTAATTATCGTATGAATTAGGAATTCTAGGATTAACGCAATTGAATTAAGAAGACACAGGCACAAACGAATGTATTGTATTTAGAATTCGAAATCAAACATTCAACCAGTAGAAAGGTATCATGAGTCCATTCAAACACCACAGCTTAAATAGAAGTATAAGTGTTTGTAATCGGTTGTACGTCTTCTTGTTAAGTTCATCCTGAGTCTGTCCGACATTGTATAAGATAAGAACTTTGTAGTATCTAGAAAGTGCTCATTAGTATTGGAATTAACAAACGAAATCGGAACAGACTCATCTGGAATTGTATACAATCAGCATGTCGGTTTTGTACTGAAATCATTAATATCTAGAATTCGAACCATAGATTTTTCAATCCTATCCTCCCCCACGAAATAATGTTGGATCTTTATATCCCCAAGTTATGAATAATGTGGCTTCATTTAAAACATATTTCTCACATTGTTTAAAGTAAACATTAGAACTGTTTTTGTGATAAGTGTACCTCACTAAATTATTGACTTATTAGCAACAGATACATCTATATCGATAGATAGATTGTGTATGATCTGCTATATTGAAATGAATACTGAGAAAAATTAAACTTTTGGAACGGTCTTACCTAAAGTTATTGTTTACATTTCCATTGTATAATGGTTAATTGCTTCACGCAGATGATATAGTCCTGTTTGATGAAGAAAATGATACAACACAGAGTCTTTTGGCAGCACTGAGAAACAATGCCAGGATGTTTTGGATGCTTTTGTGCCCAGTTGATTAGATTACTATTGACATGTATTTAAAGGATCAGAGCAATTATAAGTGCAGAAAACCCATAGAAACTGTAGAAAAATCGATGAAGTACTATGCAAAGCCTTTGTATACAGTATACGATCCTATTCACCCTCTCTTTTCTATGTAGTTAACTTTGCATAAAAATACTAACTTTTATACTGATTGTTTTGTGTCATAAATTCGTTTAAGTATATTATGCTTTTTTAGTATCACCGTGACATTGTATTGTATGTATTATTCTTAGTTTGATTTATTGATGTATATAAGAATGTTATACTGAATGAAATGACTAAAAAGATGTTACCGTTATACTTGAAGACAAATTAACCTGTATTAGTATGTATTCAAAACTTACATTTGAACTTATTTTTTACCAATCCAACAAAATTATTGAGTTCAATAAAATATTTTATAGATAAACAAAAAAAAAGTTATTTTGCAAGTTATTTACAATGAAATACTGTCTATTAATGAAAGACTCGTGTGTACAATTGTAAACATATCGCTTTTATTGATGAGAGTAAAAATCATGCATAAAATGTATCATTGTTTACTTAGAATTTCATATAAGATTATCCCTTTTTTCAATTTTCAATAAGATTGCAACGTCTAGCATTTTCGATTATCTTCCTTTCATTTAGTGAATGAATTCTGCATATAAATGCATACTCTTTTATTCTTACTGAGGATTTCATTCCAATCCTTTGAAACTATGTACATGTATGTTGTATGATTACGTCACTGTAGCGTAACTCAACTTTCCCAATTAAAAAAATCAATCAAAGTGAAATTCAGAGCTTAAAATGAAATCCTCAGGGAAAATTATGCTCTTATATGTAGCGCTCGTTTAATAAATAGAAGGAAAAATGCCAGAAAATGTTTGATACTGTACACGCCTACAGTTTAGCTAGGGATTGAATATGTATATAAATTTGGGTTTTTGTTTCTTTATTCTGATTGTTTAGTCAAAGATTATTACAAATTATCGTTGTACTGTTAAAATTGACTAAAGAAATCATGACCGACAATATCTATAAATTATATAATTAATTCACCATACATTCTCAGAACCTTTTGAAGGAGTTTCGTTCTTTGAGCTGGATGGTTTAACCGTGCACATTTCATTGTTTTATTGAATAACATCATCAGCACAAACTTCTAGTACAAATTAGCTATTCAAATTTCTCCACATATAACTAACAATGTTGATCTTGATTGGTTGTCTTTAACCTTTAGCCTGTCGTTGTGTGCATATTTATTTTGATCATCTCCCTCTTTTACCATATGTAGAGGACATATCAGAATTTTTAATAAGGTTATTGAGGCCGTTTAAAATAGATGTAGTACATAAACTAACAAACTCACTTCAATCGATTTTATGAAAATCAAAGGATAGAATGAAAAATGGAGAAAAGCCAAAGGTTATCCATATGACAAACCTCTAACTGCAAAGAAGAATACATCGGATGAAGTGGCAGTCTTCTTCATCTTCTACATGGCATCAATTAACTGTTATACGCCATTCTGTACTAATGCACGTAGACAATTATGGACTCAAGTGGGAAAATATGTACGAATATAAAATCGAGAATTAGATCAAAGTTATATGTAGACAAATTCGAATAGGTCACTTCCACCTGAAATTCATGCTAATGAAAACTCTACTGTTATAGCATCCAGCTCAGAGAATGAAGCTCCATGAAGACAGATATATACCAATTCCTAAATGTTAAGAGTTCATCAGTACTAGGTTGTATGCCACTTGTCACTCGACAACAATATGGATATCTTAGTTTTAATGGAATCGAATTACCTATCTGACCTGGATGCTTAGATTTTATCATAAACGACCAAAGGAAAAATCTGGAAAAAGTGTTCACTTTAGAACACCAATCATAATAACTCCCTTCAACAAATCAAACAAAAAGTACAAGAGACAAGCAATATCACGAGTAAGAAGTCATCAAGCTTAAAAAACGGAAGTCGACCAAAATCATCCTCCTTCCGTAATAAATCTTCTCCAACATTTCGTAATATTGGTAGGCAATAGATTACCCATTTTAATTCACTCATCTTAATACAAGTATTAGTTTTCGCACTGAGACAATCTATGTACATATCTCCTTCATCTTCACTTTTTTTTCTGTTCCAACAGACGTCTTGGGATATCATATGTTTTGGCTACTGGTGGAGCATTAGGCACCGCATTAACTATCAATAAACAAGTTCAAGTAAATTATTTCTTTCTGCTATTTGAATTATTAATTGTTTTTTTTGTTTTCCATTGGTTTCACTTACATATATATTTATTAACTACTAGATATTATTCTATTTAATTATATGTAAATAGATTTACTCTTATGTCATTGCATGTACACGTAATTATTAATTACGATGGCTAAAACATATGCTGACTGGTGATTGGGTTCAAGAGATATTTCCTGGAGTTCTAGTGAGAAGCAGTGATCAGTGGAGTTCAACTGGGTCTGTTGTGAGATAGTAACTCACTGAAGGCAATGATGGATGTGTCACTCAATTTTGTGGATTAGTTAAAGTTAGACATTAACACCATTGGATGCCGACTGGCTCAGTGGTCTAGTGGTTAAGCGCTCGCGCAGGAGACCGATAGGTCCTAGGTTTGAATCTCGTGAGGCGGGGTCGTGGATGGGCACTGCTGAGGAGTCCCATAATAGGATGAAACGGCTGCCCAGTGCTTCCAGGTTTTCCATGGTGGTCTAGCTTCATTTGACTCATGATCTCAACTATTAAAACATTTTAACTGTTTTATCAATATGAGTGGGATTGTAATAGTCTTGTGAATAATTATGTTTTAAGTCAATATTGAGAACTGTCATTTTTTAAAGTATAAACCATATTCTAACAGAAGTGAATCATCAAAGTATATGTGATTAACAATCTACTCGTCAATTCATTATGAAGTCACATATTTCTTTTCCGATGGTTCTTTAAATTCCAGATGTTACTTCTATGAGTATTTATTTTTAACTAGATTCAATATGTACCACTGTCATAAATCATTCATCTTAAACAATGTTTTCTAAAGATCTTCCTTTATTCATATGAGATTGTTTGAAATGGATTATATTCCTATCAATTTTCATCAGATTAATATGTTTATCCAATTCAAAAACACACAGAAATAATTTCACTTCCTTATGTAACATTAGTGGCTATCTATTCGATGTATTTTCAACGCTTCTTTTGTTTAGGTAGCCCTTTTTGCTCGGGATCTAGAAAGTATGATTATATACCTATATTTATCTATCTGAGTCATTACTTACTTACTTGCTTACGCCTGTTACTTCTCGTGAAGGAACATTCGCCATCCAACCCTGTCCTGGGCAATCATTTCCAGCTCCTTCCAGTTGTTATTCATCCTTTCCACATCTAATTTTATTTCCCGACGTAATGTGTTCTTTGGCCTTCCTCTTTTCTGCCTTCCTTCAGGATTCCAATTTATGGCTTGTCTCGTGATACAATTTGACGATTTGCGTAGTGTATGTCCTATCCATTTCCATCGTCTTTTCCTAATTTCCTCTTCAGCTAGAAGCTGGTTTGTTCTCAGTCATAATAGATAATTTTTTTTAAAAAATTTTATCTTCACTTATACTGTCACATTGTCTGTTAATAATCCGTTCATTCTATAATGAAACATCTACTTCACTCGTTATATACAAACAAAAGAACAAGTACACATACATGAGTCTTGATAGGTAATCAAAATGAGTGTATAAATATTTCAATAAACCCTTATTATTATTATTATTATTATTATTATTATTATTATTATTATTACTATTGTTACTACAACTACTACTGTTACTATTATTATTATAAATATCGTTGTATGACCCATAGATGTACTGTTCTAATCCTGTTTAGTAAACAGGGTATAACTGTATTGATTAATTAATTTTAATACGGCATATTAAATAGTTTTTGTAAAAATGTGGTGAATTTTGTCGTTATTATTATTATTATTATTATTATTATTATTATTATTATTATTATTATTATTAGTTGATTGTTCATATGAAATGATTTTTTTTGAAAAAAAAAACATGATTATGTTCCACTTTCAACGATCTATTGCTTACATGAACTGAAAATTCAATACAATTTATGAATTAGCCTTTTATTTACAAATCATTTTATAATTGATAAATATTTACTAAATTAATCTAATTACACTATTCGTAGTTATAACTTTTGATGTTTGTTTATTCTATGATTTAATGGAAATCATAAGACATTAAAGTCAATTTTTTTAAATAAGAAATCAGTATTTAAGTAATATAAAAGAATGTGGACCGATAATGGTCAAGATTAGAAGTTGGGTTTATAATGGGGGGGGGAGAACATTTTGTAGTTATATTGATGAATAGTTGTGTGGATAGTCATTTGATTTCAATTCTAAAGAACATGTAAGTTACCTTGATTGCTTCGTCTCTAAAATATAAGTTTATAATTTAGAGATAATGTCAATTCTCCATATCATATACAATCCACAGAGATAGAATTAAGCATTTAATAAGTTTAAGATCATCAGTTTTCTCCATGCATGACAAAAAATTTTCTCTTTCATTTTGGACATTTTCACTACGGCGTACCTGAAAAGATAGTCAATATCATACGAAATTCCTATGGTGGATTAAACTGCAAAGTCGTGCACGCAAGACAGCTTACAGACTCGTCCGAAGTAAAGACAGGTGTCAGACAAGGTTGCTTACTCTCACCCTTTCTCTTTCTTCTGGTGGTCGACTGGATCATGAAAACGTCAACATGTGAGGGGAAGAGCGGGATACAGTGGACAGCTAGGATACACCTGGACGATCTGGACTTCACAGATGGTCTGTCTCTTCTATCGCACACACAATAACAAATACATGAGAAGACGACCAGTGGAGCAGCAGTCTAAGCAGCAGTACATCTCAACATACAAAAACGGAAAAGCAAGATTCTCCGACACAACCCAACACGCACTAATCAAATCACACTTAATGGAAAAGCTTTGGAGGATGTAAAAACCTTTACATACTAGGCAGCACTATTAATGAGCACGGTGGATCTGATGCAGATGTGAAGGTGCGGATCGGCAAAGCGAGAGCAGCATATCTACAATTGAAGACCATCTGCAACTCAAAACAACTGTCAACCAACACCAATGTCAGAATTTTCAATACAAATATCATGACAGTTCTACTGTATGAGGCGGAAACTTGGAGAACTACAAAAGCCATCATCTAGAAGATGCAAGTGTTTATTAACGGCTGTCTACACAAAATACTTCGGATCCGTTGACCAGACACTATCAGCAACAAGCCATTGTGGGAGAGAACAAACCAGATCGTAGTGGAGGAAGATATCAGGAAGAAGTGCTGGAAATGGATAGGACACACATTGAGGAAAGAACCCAACTGTGTCACAGGGCAAGACCTCACATGGAATCCTCAATGCCAAAGGAGGAGAGGAAGACCAACGAACACATTACGTCGAGAAGTGGAGACAGACATGAGATGGATGAACACAAATTGGACAGAACTGGAAAGAAAGGCCCATGACAGAATGGGATGGCGAATGCTGATCGGCAGCCTATGCTCCATTGGGAGTAACAGGCTTAAGGAAGTAAGTATTCTGAACATTTTGAGCACCATACATAAGTGTTTCTACTACTCTTTATGCATGTAATGTCCAACCTTTGGTAGATTTTCATTTAGCCTAAAGGTACCATGTGTGTTGGGGCAGTGTTGGAAGCATTAGGTGAATGAATCTGAAAAGAAAAGAATAAGAAGAAAAGTCAACCGTCGATTTAGTAAACACATACTATGTACCTACATCCAGTAATGTAAATAACTTATAACAATTAATTAAAACAATCTGATAATCGAAACCAGTTGATAGCTTAAGGTTTCGAATGCATTGCATACGTTGTATTTGAATTTCACGTCTAAACGTGGAAGTTACATTCTCGATTTTGATTGAGTCGTCCCTATACTGTACTTCTACCCATTACTAATTTTGTAATGGAATTTGGTTATTTGTTTCTTTTTCCTTTGATTTTCAAATAGATTATCAGTGTTAATCACTGTTTATCTAAAATTCTGTCATAAAAGTGCATATTTGATTTTACAAATGAAATAGTCTTATAACGTTTATCGTTGAGTTATATATGTATATCAGTCATTATCTAAAGTTAAATATCCAAATTTTCAGTAAGTGGGAATCATATAGAGAATGATATTGTTTTCTGGGAAAAATAAAAAGGATAAAAATTTAATTTCGACAGAGCTGCTGTTCTACTACAAACACTGTTTTATATTGTTGTGAATAAACAGGCTAATGGAGTTTGATGTGTTTTAGCAGATGACCAACTATCTCTGAAACTAGAATCTTCTTTTCATAAATTAAAATATGCACATATTCCGTGAGCACTTTTTTCTCTCTAAATTCTTTTTATTTGCTTTCTTTTTCAATTTTAGAAATTCCCTCCTATAATTGGTCGATTTGTACCATTTATTGCAGTCTCTGCAGCTAATTGTATTAATATTCCATGTATGAGAAGTGCAGAACTAACTGAAGGTACACCTATATTGGATGAAAATGGTGAGAAATTGGGTAAATCAACTGTTGTAGGACGTAGAGCTGTTAGTCAAGTGGTTTTATCACGAATATTAATGGCTTCCCCTGGAATGAGTAAGTCACCTAATAATATGATAGTTTTGTGTTGTGAGGATGTGTTTTGTCTATCAATAATTTAATTAGCACTCATCTCATTTTATCATTTCTTGCTTAATCCATACCAGTCTATACATTTCTTAGTCTCTCGTTGAGCATTTGGTCTCATTTTTAATTACAGTATTATTTCTCTCATCCTATGTTATCAATATTTACTTCGATTATTAGTTTCAGAATTTTAATTGGCCTATATTTTGTTTATTTAAACACCTAAACATTGGTACAAGGAGGCACCAAATAAATATGCGCCACACAGATTCCATTTTATATGTGTGAGGGCTGGGATACTGCCTGGGTGCCAAAGCTGAAGCTGATGGTTTTCTCAGGGAACCACACCTGGAACCTTCGACCTAAAGGTCTGACCCATAATGCAGTGGAACAACGTTAGGAGATGCAGTCCCATGGTAGCCGGTGACTAACGATTGGTTCATATGCCATTTGTTCTCTCAGGATCGCGTAGCCCATGTGCACCATTGGTTTGGAATCAGGGTTTTCCAACTCCCCTAGGTGGACTCTTCATGTCCACCAACCCGGTTAATGCGCCGGACATTCGCTTTTCGTCCTCTCAATTTCGTAAACAACACCCCCTCCACGAGAAGGCAGTGAGAAGAACTTTCGTGGGAGTGGGTGTATGCACGTGGCCATGTGAGATCATTTGGAGAAGGAGAGCTGACTCTCCCTACCCTAGGTCGTACCAGGGCATTCGATGGTTTTATGTACACGTTGTTTGAGTTTTTAGATAAATATTTGAAGATAAACGACCAACATTAATCAATGATAATTACTTAATTAATAGAAACTGACATTTTTTTCTTTGTATCTACTTACCTCAGCAATTTTGCCTTTTGTGATGCAGTCATTAGAAAAACAAAAATTGCTTATTCGTTATCCTTGGCTGGGAGCTCCAATACAAATTAGCTTAGTCGGTTTAATGTAAGTTGATTCACAGGTATTGTACTCGGCATTTTTTCCAAAGGTGTTAACGTTTTCAAATGATCTTACTTTCTATCTTCCAATTAGTTAATTTTGACAACTTTACTTTTGCGAATTAAGGATTGTGTATTGTAACAGTAATTTGTGTAAACTGTTAGATTTCGTCAAAGTAACCAGCTTTTCGATTAAAGATATTTTTTCCTGTCATTTCAACCATAGAAGTGTCATGTTTTAAGTTTACCAACCTCTGACATTCAATAGTCACTTCTTACAGTGTTATATTTAAACACTGTTCAATTTTACTCAGAACTTTGGTTCTGATGTCGGCATCTTCAGGTGACTGCAAGCTGCATACAAAAACAAGACACTTCAACTGGTTTTCTGTCATTGATAATAATTCGAAACACTCACACTCGCGATTTACTATACCAGCATATTGCACCCAGTCATCGTCTACAGCTTAGCCAACTTCAGACATTGGTAACGAATATTGAATAAAAATGACTGTTCACCAAAGATTTGTGACAAAGTTACAACCGTTGCATCAAATGAAGTGTCTCTGGGATTCTTGAAGTGAATGAAATCGGTGTAGCGTTCATTTTCAGCTGTGCCAAGTTTGCGTAGCAGTACTCTGACTTTTGCGGTATCATCAAGTTTTTCTAGGTCGACCTTGAATACATATTCGTATTTCTTGAACCACGATTCAAGTGTAACTCCAGCCAAATCATCGAAATGAAATTCATGGATAGAATTAATGATGTGGTTGACGTGGGATTTGAACGGACCATCTGTAAGCTCCTTTTGATTTATATTCATTTACTGGGTTAGAGCTTCTAGAATACGAATCTGGAACTGTTCGAAACGTTTTTCTTGACGCTCCAGCAAGGCTTCGAATTAGTCAAAGGTAAATGACATCTTGATAAGTTAACCCCGTCGCCAGTTGTTATATCTAGAAGCTTAGATATTTAATATACCGCATATGATTTGAGCATCTGAATGCTAGAATCTAAGTATACATAAAATTACGGGTTTTTATAGATATTAACGTTTGGTGAATCAACATTATAATTCGGCTAATCTGCAGAGAGGCATGTTATGCTACTGACCAGTGGTAGCATACCACGTTGACATTCTAGAAAGCTCCATTGCGTTCTGACTGTATAGAACTCTTCGGCTCTTCAAGAGCCTCTGGAGGCTCCTTCGTAGTTCTCGAAGGTCGTCCCAACACAAATCTTTATCAAAATTAAATTAGGTTCGCTAAGTTTTAAATTAGCATAAATGTCTTGTAATATAGATGGCCACATTAATCATAAACAGAAAAAAAGGCACTACAATGAAATCGAAAACCGATTTCATAAAATACAATCTGTAAACATTTGAAATAAGTTAGTTAGAACATGGTCAGTCAGTCAGTCAGTCAGCTACAACGTAGGACCAGGCACATATGTGCATCGGTCCAGGAGGGAACACAGAACATACTTTGTTCATAAAAATTTATTAATGTTTAGTGGGGCCCTTTATTTTTTCATCATTTAGATCAGAAGATGTTGTCAACGGTCTCACCACTTTAGTGGCCCGTATCTGACTCCAATTTGATCGTATGAATGTTTGTTATTGAATGGTTGCTACCGAAATATGTATGTCGCCTACCGTCGTATATAACTATCGACTTAAATCGCGTTAGTCAATATCGGAATTAAATGAGTCAAATACGAGAATGAATTTCGAATACGTTGATGCAGACAAAATATCGGAGAAGAGAACGGAATAGAGCGAAGCGAAACGACGCGCAGTAGAGATGGCAGATAACCAGCTCCATTTAGTCAAACATCAATCAATATTTATAGTCACACAAAAATAAGTTACAGACATGTGATGAGTAATGGGATAAGAAGTGTACACACACATATATGCGCTCATATAAAAACAGTCAAAGTTGATAAGCGAATAATTAACAATGTCAAAATACGACTCAAGTAGAATGAATAGATTTTGGTGGAGTTTTGTTCTCTGACCTGGATGGTTTGGACTTCTACCTGAAGTTTGTGCTGATGATGTCGTTCAGAAGAACGATGAAAGCTCCACGATCAAACCATCCAGCTCAGGGAACAAAACTCTACCAAAATCATCCACCTGAGCTACAAATCTTCTCCACCATCTCAGAATGGATAGATTGACATGTCCGAAAGCTAGCATAAGGGCTTAACATGGTTACCGACACTACAAATGTAATTGGACATTTTTTAAAAAATGTATTTTTCATTGTACACAAAAAATTTAATTATGACTTTTTCTTTTCAGGTTATCACTTGTAACACCTTTATGCTGTGCTGTATTCCCACAAATCAGTTCAATTCCATTTCATAAACTTGAACCTGATGTTCAAGCACATATTAAAGAAATTCGATCTGATCGGTTACCTTCAGTTGTTTATTATAATAAAGGTTTATAATTTGTTTTAAATAAACAAAAACAAAATAAATGAATGTTCGAATTAAATTCCATATCTGTAAGAAGAAAATTAATTTTATATGAATGTATTCCATTTATTCACAATTGCATTTTAGTTATCATTCTAATATTATTTTTGTCAAATGATTTGTTAGATTTGAAATAGTCCATTTAGATGCAATGTATTTAATATACTTTTCTGGTGTAGAACAATTGATTTCATTCATTTAAACAATATTTCTACTTCTCTAACTATTTAGTAAGTGTTCGAAGTAATTGAATATACTGAGGAATTGTTTCATTCTTCTAAAGGTATGACGTTTTTAATTATTTGAATCACCAGGTTTCCCGGTGCTCCTCTAATAGTTATTGGTATTATCATGTAGTCTGATACAATCCCAATTGTTGCTGCTACCTTGACGTGGTGATCGGGCTTCCTTATCGTAATGAACCAATCGAGTTATACTGACTGGAATAATCGTTCCTCAAGGTCTTACTATGCCAGGCAGGTCAGTTGAGGAGTGGTAAGATTAAAAGCTGCAAACCCAAGGACCGAAGGGGAAGTCGTACTGCTGATTGTATAGGGATGTGAGAGCAGTAAGGTGTTTCCCTCAGACAGACAGCATAACAGCGATGCTGTCTTCCCACAAAGAAGGGATGGGATTAAAAAATGTCGACCCTAAAAATGCACACCTCGCCTTATCCCACGAATTTTCGTCTCCAGCGGCTAGGTTTCAACAAACACGGAGTTAACACAAAAAGTTGTGTGTGATCTGCCACAAGTAGTTGTTTTTTAGGCACTGCAGTCACGCTCTCAGGTCACTAAAACCAACTCTAACCCAATTTTCTTTTCAGGTACCTCCAGAAGAACCCTCCCATGGTGTGGGCAACCGGAAAGTGATAACTGCCTTCATACCTTTAACAGCCCTCAAAATCACTGTATTCATATTTGATTCCCCCCTTTGGTACAATAATAAATGCATATTTTTCTGAACAGTAGTGGTCGACAACAAATAAGTGTTCAACTCTCGTATTTTATCAAGGCATAGAAATGTCACACCGTAGCAATTTATCTATAACAGAAAACAGTTATTACTGAACTCAAATGCAACTTGTTAAGTGTATTTCTAACTAGCCTTAAATTATCATCGAAAGATCCTATGGTTTAAGCAGATTGATGTCATAGCAAAATAAACTATTCATCATTATTGGTGCTCAAGTCGCGAAGCAATGGGAACCAAATTCTGAACTTGAGCAATTTCTATACCATAGCTCATTAGCCTGATTAGGTCACTTCCTGTCAGGTGTCACGTCCTGTACTTATGTAATTTTTGTAACACCTTCATTAGTATTACAAACAAGAACAGAAATCGTGGCGTCCTGGTTGTTCTTCAGTAATGACTGTATATGAAACCATATATAGTTTTCTAGACCTGTTTATAATCCACCAATCAATTTGACTATGTCTCAATATGTTGGCGTTCTGACTGATAAGTGAACTTGTAGCACCCAATTCAAACATCAGTTTGCCTAGTTGTGATAACTGTCAAGTGTTTTATAAATATCAGCTGTTATCAACAGTCAGTGAGGCTGCGTACTGTATAGTTAGTTTTCTGATGTGTTTTTCCTTCTCATATACAATGTGTGTTTATTCATTTCATCAACCTAGTTCGATCTACCTAGTATTACAAAATTCAATGACAAGCAAGTTTAAGCATTACAATCAATCCACATCAGGATCCTAAAACTCTATCTTCTGGTAATGTTGTTCGTGGTGCTGACATAGATTGCTGTTGTCTTGTAAAATTTGCTGAAGTCCTTTTTGACAATGATAAGACATCATAAGAAACGCTCATAATGCAGTCGTGTCAACACAAAGACAGCATTTATTCGTTACTCAGCATTTTTCTAAATTGCTGTCAAGTTTTATGCTTGGCAACCACACTCGTCCAATCATTATCAACTTTCAGGCGCTTAAGATTACCCAGATAAATAAATGCCTACGAAAGATTTTCCTTCCGGCAACGATTGCCCAGACTCCCACATCTTGGATAACCAACCTCATCCTGTACAGATAAAAATGTTGATTTCCACTACTAAGTTGATATTTCCGACTGGTAGGTCGAAAGTTTGTATTCAACAGAAGCTGACATTGATACACAGGTATTGAAAATTGTCTTCTGAGATGAGAATACAAACGTAAATGAAATTTTCATTGTTTTCCATGTAAAATCATTAATAAACTCCTTGGATGCTACTGAGTATCGAACTTGGCACGATTAGTTGGTGGGGGGAAATACTGTAGCCAAAGACAGTCAGGCTTTATCACTGTTGACTCTAGTAATGGGAGATTTGAAATAAATTATAGATCTTATTTAAAGTCGTAAATATTCTTCTGACTAATCGCATGAACACAACGTGGAATCAAATGGTCGGACGTGAAGTTGCTTTTGATTACGCATATTTCAAACATACATGCGTCACAAATAAACGGTAAGTCAATATGGAAATCGGGTTTTCGTCTAAGGTCAGTGTGTAAAGTGAGTTGATTTTTGCAAGCCAAAAGTTATGTAAGCTGAAGACAACTCACCGTATATATATATATATATATATATATATATATATATATATATATAATTTATTTTAACACATAGATATTGGTACAAGGAGGCACCAAATATATATGCGCCACACCATATTTGTGTTTGTGTGGGCTGTGATACTGCCTGGGTGCCCAAACCGACGCAGGTGGTTTTCTTAGGGGGCCACACCCAGAGCCTTCGACCTGAAGGTCTGATCCACAAGGCGGTGGAGCATCGTGAGGAGATGCAGTCCCATGGTAGCCGGTGACCAACGATTGGTTCATGCGTCATTTGTTCACGCACAATACTGGAGCCCATGTGTACCATTGGTTTGGGATCCGGTTAGAACGCCGGACATTCGCTTTTCGTTTTCTCAATTTCGTAAACAACACCCCTGCCACGAGAAGGCAGTGAGTAGGACTTCCCTGGCAGAGGCTATATACGCGTGGCCATGTGAGAGTATTTTGAGAGGGAGAGCGGATTCTCTGCACTCTCGGCCGTACCAGAGCATTTGGGGGCTATATATATACGATTACGACACATGGAAATAGATGACAAGATATACATGTACACAAGAGGGCTGTCAAGTAACCAACCATATTTGAATGACAGTTATAAACCAGACAAAAATAAGTTACTTTTTGTCACGATAAAAAATGACACAGAATGTCTGGCAAACTAATCCATGATATATCTCCGAGATTTTTACTTGACTTAGGCGATAGTATTTTCTGTCTTTTGAATACACTTTATGAACTTGTAGTACAGGTTACTATGTTAAGCCTATATAACTTATTCTAGCTTCTGAACAGGTCAACTTATCCGTTCTTTATTCACGTCTTGACCGTGGTAATTGTTCACCTACCAACCCTGACTTTATATGAATGTATGTGTGTGCACCTCTTATCACATGACTGTAATTTATTTCTGTATGACTAAATGTCAATTAACGCTTGATTGAATTGAATTGGCTCGCTCGCCTTCTCCAATGCTCACCATTTTAATTTGCTTCGCTTTCCAATCAACGAATGTATGAAATATACATAGTCGAAATCCATTCTCGCATTTGACTTATTTAATTCCGTTTTACTCTAACGCGATAAAAGTCGATGATTTATAAACGAGTATAGAAGACATGTATATTTTAATAACATTCATACGATTTAACTGGAGTCAGATCTCGGGTCAATAAAATGGTGAGTCCATCGACAACATCCTCTGATCTAATTGACGTCTAAATAAAGAGCCCCACAACTTTGCCATCAATGGAGGTCTTAAAATTAGCTTACTTTACGCTTATAGTTTTTAAAAATGATTTAATAATATGGGGGCTTATTATTATGTGCCACGGTTAGGAGTCCCTCAACTGATTTCGTTTTTACTAATAATACTCTATACAGTTCATAAAATAATGCCAGGGATTATTTCTAGCCTCTTCATTAATATATATTATTGAAATTTCAATGAGCGGTGTATGGACATTAAAACGCTGCCAAAATATTTATAGTAAAAGAAACATTTTATCCAGAAGCACTTATTACCATTCCATAGAGTTCGGAAGTTCCTTTCGAAATCATCTTTTGGTTAAGCATCAGTTACTGTGACCGCTTTATGATCAATGTCCTAGATTACTTTTCCAACTTTTCTTGATGCAAACTGGATGTATGGAAATTATACATCCATGAGTCGAATCGACAGAAAAGGGCATTTTTCTTTTTCTTGAGTAATTGTGGTTGGGTTTTACAAGGCGGTCATAGCGTGAAGATTATCTTTTGAGTAAAAAATTTGCGATCATCATATTGTGGACACATTTAATAAAAGACAACCATCGAATTATTTAAGCTAGGAGGGTTAATATTCAGTGTTCCAAAGTATAAATCAAATTTATTTCTTCATAACATGAGTACAGCATCCACAGATATATGAACAGCAGAGGTGTGGCTAATTCCACTTGTTGCTTTTCTAGGGCAACTGCCTGTCTAAACCCGGGTAAAGAAGGAGGACTGATTATGAGGTCAGTAACCGTATCCCGTAGTAAACAACATTGCTTGAAATACACTTAACAGAACGAATAATTTAAACTGTCCTGGTACTTCAAGGGTCTTCAATCAGAAGAATTATGAAACCTCATGGTGAAAGCCGAAATTCTTTGAGAGTCAAGAAGGTTATGACCCTTATAATTACCATAACAACAATTAATATAGGTACATAGAATGTTCGGAAAATGTGGGATACTGGGAGGATCAAATAGATGCGGAAATGAAGAGATACAACTTGCAGGTACTCAGAATCAGTGAAACCCATTAAATTCATGCTAGACTGAAAAGATTAGATTCTAGAGAGGTTCTTCTGTACTCTGTTCATGAAGATGCTTCGCACACACAAGAAGTAACAATGATCGTTTGCAAATAAGCACAGAAAGCACTTAAGGGATTGGGATCGTATGGATCCAAGAATATCAAAGTCTTCTTCATAACAAAGGAGGTAATCACAGCGAATGTTATTCAGTGTTATGCATCCACCAATGATAGTAATGACGACGATAAAGGTGATTTCTATGAAGGGCTGCAGTCGATCATAGCGAAGCGTTCAGGAAAGGACATGACCATCTTGATGGGACATAAACGTCAAACAACAGCACTGGATATGAATATATCATGGGACAACATGATCTGCCTAGGAGAAAAGAACGAGAATAGAGACAGATTTGCAAATTTTTGTACATTCAAAAAGTAATGGGTGGCACTTTATTGCACCATAAACGCATGATCAAATCTTCATAAGATGTACTTGATCC